TAAGGAGTTAATTTATATCTACTCATATTCATGTTATTAAGTGTTTTAATGATTTGGCTGATTAATCAATTAATCGATAAAATAATGAAGAGATTAATTGATTATTAAAATAATCAGTGTCAGCCCTAATCATCAGGGTATTTCATAGGGGTGTAACGATACATCCATCTATATCGATATATGGATTTGAATGGCTCATGATTCAGTCATATCGAGGCAAAATGAAAATATCCATCTATATCATCACCATATCCTCGGTGTGAATCAATATCATATGTCCATCTAACAGTCATTGTGTTAGATGGACATATGATATTACATTATATCGATGGCAGACATGTGACCTGAGTCGAAATCATATCATGACAGACTTTGTGATATTGAGACATTTCAACTCGTCATCCAAACATWTCGATGTAARATCGTATCGTGGTAAAGCTGGTGATWTACACCCCTAGTTTTTCAAATATTCAGCCAATTTAAATCTCTAAAGTTCTAAAGCTGGCACTTTGTTTTTTCAGGTCTTTAAAGGGGAATTTCAGCTCCCAGATTTCCTAAAAGAGCAATCACAGGTACTGTAACACTTCTGGCTGTTTTTTTTTTCTTTTATCAGATTTAGTCTTTTTGTTGTTTTCTTTGCACACATACCATACCAACTTTATTTATAAAGCACTTAACAGTCACAGTCAATAAAACCAATAAAACAAATTAAAATAATCTCAAAACAAAGTAAAAGTCAACATCTCAGATGGAGCCAWAGACAAGAGATGGTTTTAATTAATGTTTTAAAAGCCGACAGGGAAGTGGCCTGTCCCAAAGGCAAGCTGTTCCACAGTTTAGGAGCAGCAGTGGAGAAGGCACCATCCCCTCAAAGCTTATGGTTGGTTTTTAGGATTCTCAGGAGCAGCTGGTCTGCTGACCTGAGAGATCAGGAGGGGATGTGGGGGTGAAGCAGCTCAGTGAGGTACAGTAGGACAAGACCATTTAATGCTTTAAAAACAAATAAAAGAACTGTAAAAGGAATCGTCCTGATGCATCTCAGTAATAAAGGTAGAAAAAATCAGTAGGTCCTCTGGATGGTTCTTTTCAATGAAACGTTTCGTCTCTCCTCCAAGAGACTTCTTCAGTCTGATGAGTTTCAGGTGAACTCAGCCTTATAAGCTCCGCCTCCACATGGTGGACAAACAGGTTGGTCACATGTAAAAGAGGACCATCAACTAACAATAGGCTTGATTAGTTCTATTGTTCATAGAGGGTCATGAGTCCCATCACCTGACTTATTGGTTTGGATGCATGCACAGCATTATAATTACAAAATTATAATTCCAATTCAAACAGAATAGCCTGTTGTCTACATAATTATGGACTGTTTTTTTTTATCAACTCAAAATATCTTCAAACTAATGAAATATAAAGTTATTAGTGAAGAAAACCCGTCTGGATAACAGCAGACTGACTGCTGGTAAAATATAGGTCTGGACCACTCATGATTTTAGTTCATATCTGAAGAAAATCTTACAATACGACAAAATTGGTGAATGTCATAAGTTCTCCTAAATCACTCGTATGCACATTTAAGATCAAATCTGTTCGTACAAACGATCCTTGCATGAGGCCCATTAACCGTATTTCCATCAAGGCTTTTTGATGTGCATTTAGAAGTGTTGCATTAAAAATGCGAAAATAAAGTCGGAAACGGCAAAATTCGAAAAAATTAATCCTCAATTCGCTAAAAAGTTTTTACGCTCGCTTGAGGTGGTTTTTGGATGATTCGCTAAGTAGTTAATGCACAAAACAGGAGATGGAAACACGTTTGAATAAATTCTGACGTGGCGCATATTTACCTCACGTGACGTTCAGCTGTTTCTGCTTTCCTGCCTCGTCCCAGCATAGTTGCACGTGCCTTTCTGCTGCGTAGTTTAACATTGCGTTTATTTCCCTACGTCCCCTGGCAGCGTTAAACATAGCCTGTACTCGCTGAATAGACAGAATAATTACAACTTGCCCAATAGCAAGGCATTCACGAAAAAAATCACTCCGTTGTTCTGAGATGATTAGCCTCTGCTAGTTAGCAAGTTTCACTTCTTGTTTATTACCACAAAGCTTGTCGCCGACGTCTGACGTAATGACGCGTTGCGTAGCCTCGTCTGACGTAATGACGCGTTGCGTAGCCTCGTCTGACGTAATGACGC